TTTTTTTTTTTTTTTTTTTTTTTTTTTTAAATTTTAGTTGTTTAGGTATCCAAAACTAGTTTGTATGTTTTCTGAGTCTTTTTATGATCTGTGTTTCTGTACGTTACAGTTTTTCTATTCGTTTGCGTTCTTTTTTTTCCACTTTGCTTTGTTTTAATTCAACTTATTTTAGTTTTGAATTCAAAATACTCTTATTGTATTATATCGTATGCATGTTTCGTTTTTTGTGCTTTTTTTTTTGAATATTTGTTTTGCATTTGCTGCATATTTGCTTAATGTGCTCAACATTTCCAAATCTTTTGTTTGGTTTCTCAAACTTGTCTTACTGACTTTGCTGTATGTATCCTGATTGATTAAGCAACTTTCAGGTTCCCAGTCACTGTACTGATGGCTAAAGATAAGTTGAAGTCGCGTTTTTTTGCTGCTTCTTCGTCTGCAGACCAGTCTAACCAAAGGGTAAAAAGAAAAAAATCAGAAGGGGGTCAACTTATAGGATCTCGAGGTGATGGCGACTCTTCAAACCCTCTTCTGAAGTTGTTAGCTTTTTGCGTTTATTTGCTTCTTGAATTTTTCGAACAATTGTACTAGATTTTTCTTATTTTTTGAAGTGCTCTAGGACATTATTTCAGCGGAGCCAGCAGGACACCCTTACATAAACCGCAAGCTTCGTTATTCAGCAGTGCTTCAGGATGGACAAACTTCAGAGGCTTGTTCAATCTTGCAATATTGCTTTTGTTTGTTTCGAATGGACGAGTTGCGTTAGAAAATCTCATTAAGTTGGATTTTATTTTTCTTGTGGTTAATTCAAGTCGTCTATAGTAGCTAAATGTAGTTGTGTGTTTTTTTTTATGGTTGTTCTTTACTAGGATATCATGTATGTGGGTTTGCATATCAGACTTTTACATTAATTTGTACTTTTTTAGGTATGGCATTCTTATAGACCCGTCTAACTGGCTTCATTACACAGCAAATGCTTACCAAAAAAACTGGCAGAACCTTTGCTTAGCATTGTGTTCTCAAGTCACAGTATTACTTTCGTTCTTTGCAGAAAAATTCCTCGGTAAGATTTAAAGTGCTGTTTTCTGTTTCTTATAAAAATATTGCGATATTTCATTCTAACTTATTTAGTCTTATTTATTTTTACCTTTCAAATTCATTTTCTACGCTTCTGTTAACTTATTTTTTCTCTAGCCAAAAGGGTTATGGGTGATATTGCTGGGCTCATATTCTATATAGTGCTACTTACCCTGCACATTATAGCTCCAGCATGGTTTATTCTGTGGATGCAGGTAATCACATTTCACTAATGCTTCTTACTTAATTTTTTTTTCTTCTTCCACTTTTCTTTCGTGGTTTGTAAACACTGGTTCAGGGCAACCCTCTTTTTGCCTCCATGGTCCTGACAACGTATGTTGTTATTTTTTTGAAGATGGTTTCTTACGCTCACGTTAATTATTGGTACAGAGAATCGGCTAGAGTACAGGCAAGAGACGTAGCTTACGTATTTTTGCTTTACTAATTCCTGCTCTTTTCAATTTATTATTTCACTCTTATTTTTCATGGGATTCTTGTATTACTGGTTATTAGAATACTGTGTAGCAATTTAAAGAACGTTTATTGAAGTGTTGATTTTTTTGTTTTTCAGGGTCGTAAAATTGCAGGCTATCCAGAAAATATAAATTTGAAAAATTTGTATTATTTTATACTGGCACCCACGCTGTGCTACGAAGTTGGTTTTCCCAAAAATGCGAAGATTCGTAAAGGCTTTTTGTTCAAAAGATTTTTGGAGGTGCGGGTTATTTTGTGACAGTATTTCCAAAGTTTTGTTAAAAAATTGCTGAAATATTTCCCGATTTTTTAAGAACTATTAGAATTATTTTAGCTGGTTAGCCTCTCATTTATCATTGTTGCTTTGTACCAACAGTGGGTTATACCATTACTGCGAAATAGCGTTGAGCCTTTTTCCACCATGAAGATTGGTCACTGTTTGGAACGAGTTTTAAAGCTTGCTATTCCGAATCATGTCATATGGCTTATCTGTTTCTATACATTTTTCCACTCATTTCTAAACTTCATGGCCGAACTTCTATGCTTTGCTGATCGACAGTTTTATCTGTAAACTTCTGATTTTATTTTTAAAGAATCGTGTTTTAGAATTTCATTTGCAAAATCTCACTAATTTTTTTTTAATAGTGTTCTTTCGTCGAAATTATTTTAACAGTATGAATAGCCTCTCTTTTAAGCCCTACCTAATTTTTTCTTCTTACCTATGAACTTTCTAAAATTCTTTTTTTTTTAGTGACTTCTGGAATGCAGAGACTCTCTCCGTGTTTTGGAAAACATGGAATATACCCGTTCATCGCTGGGCAGTTAGACATGTGTATAAACCCATGGTTTCATTTGGCTTTAGCAAAATGAGCGCTTCAGTGGCAGTGTTTTTTATTTCTGCCTTTTTTCATGAGTACTTGGTAAAGTTTATTATATTTATTTGATTTTACATTACCTTATATATGTGTACTTATTTATTTGCTTGACTGCGCTACAGGTCTCAATCCCGTTATCTATGTTCCGCCTATGGGCTTTTTATGGAATGATATCTCAAATTCCTTTGAGCTTTGTTACGGACAAAATTCTCCAAGGAGGTCGCGCTGGAAATATAATGATGTGGGTAACACTGATTCTTGGACAACCCATGGCAATACTTATTTACGTTCATGACTGGTATTTTATGCACTACCCACATGGCGCACCAGCAGACGCTTTATTGAGCTGATTCTGTTGTCAAATTTTATAAAAAATACTTTAGTATTTGTAGTTGTCTTCTAGATTTTCAATATGTTAAAGTTATAAGTTATATTACTGGGAGTATTTCTCATTGCATTATTTTGGTAAACTTAATTTTATGAGCTCGTGATAACTGCTGTATTATTAACAACTGTCTTACTGGTCTTTAACCAATGCAGAAGTGTTGGTCATCGTTTTATGACATTCTTAGTATACTTATAGTCGTTATGATTTTTTTTTTTTTCAGTGCAAATGTTACTCTTAAAATTTTGCTACTGTTATAGGTTTGGTGCCGATATGTACGGGTGTTTTTAAGTTGGGATTGTATGCAGTTTTTTTACTTAAACAGATACAGTTTTTTAAATATCACATATTATGAACTTAAGACGAAGTAGTATTTTTATGTGTAAGGACAGTGTTATTTTATTACTATCAACTCTTTATATTTTTTGTTTAGTAGCTGTGTCAAGTCGCCAGCGTTTATTGTGCTTAGCTATTGTACTTCTCTAACGAGTTTTTATTTGTATGTATCTGTGATAAAATTTGGTACAGTGTTGCAAGCGTGAAATTTAAGTTTTAAGTTAAATTGGCTTCAGTCTTCACTTTGTCGGGGTATGTTGCAGTCGTGGGAGCGAGATGAAAGTACTTTCTGTCAGAAGTTGCTTTTTTTGGTTTAACTTCCGATTAATTTTACACGTCTGCATTGCGTTGAAGTATTTCTTGTGTTAATGGTAGGTTACGGGTACTGTGCTTTCGCAACCTCGTAAAAGTCGGCGTTCGCTTGGTTGTGGTTGTTACAGGTTTTTTATTTTGCTCGATGATTTCAGCTGTTTAATGAATGGATTCCGGTGCACCACTTTAGTAGAAGAGGGAAGTCGTTGGTTTATTTATTGGATAGGGGACAAGGAAATTTTTGGTGTTACCGATGGCAAGGTTCGTTTTGCTTTGGTGGTTTCAGTTTTACTTTGTTAGAGAAGAGAATAAGTGAGGCTTGTGTGGAATCATTGCTGTATTTGCGAACTACTGCTCCGCCACAATTTTTATCCTGGTCGTGCTCAAACCCTGTAACATTAGTCTTTCATAGTTCTCAAGTTTTTTTTTATTCGAAATGTCTATAGGCTTGTGCTGTTTTGAATTTCATGTTGGTTTTTTTCAACTAGTTAGGTTTTAGATGTAGGGTGTTTCTGTCTTTTTTCGTCAAGATCTCAGTGAAGTAGCCTTTTGAGTAGAGTGGACTATCAAAACAGCTACTGTCTATTTTTTTTTGGCTTCGTCGCTTTTATTCAGCAGACATTCAGGATAAGGTTTACGAACTGGCAATGGATAAAGCAAAGAGGCGTAGTTTTCTTGGTGTCGCAGAAAGTTTGTTAGAAGAAACATGGAGGTTGGTTAGGTTTTTTGGACTTTAAGAAAGTACAGCTGAAGGCTAGCGTTAACCTTTGCTCAATGGTTTTCTATGGGGATGTTGACTTATATTTGCATTTTAGAGGGGCGTTTGATCGTTCCATTTTCTCTGTTAAATTCGAGGGTGAAGGTACGATCTCTGTTGGTTATGTAATGGAAAAAGTTGTTTTGAAGCTTATTGATGGGAATAGTTCAGAAAGAATTGCTGACATATTGTATCTCGCAATCTCAGCTTTAAATAACCTTGTTAGTTTATCAGTTTTTCATATTGTAAAGTTCAACAACTTACTTAGAAGCCTTGTCTTTTGTAATTTTTTCAGGCACAAAGTTCTCCTGGTTGCAGCGGTCCTGTCAGTTCGCCAAGCAAAATGAGACCTAATAAAAAAATTGTTAAAGTCGGTGATTTTTTTTGTTAACCTGTAAAATTTTGCTCACGGTCTTTCCCGACTCGTCTCTCGAGCTTTATACTGTTTTAGTGAATTTATAATTGTAATTTGCATGGTTTGTAATTATGCTCTTTTCTAGGCTGAAAATTCGTCTGTTATTGATCCCACTAAAAGAAAAAGGAATAAGCCTACGGGACTTCAATTCGATGATTGACAGTCTAACTCTGTGGCTGGACTGTTTGTTCTTTAAAGTCGTTTTTGTTACTAGAACTAAAGGCGCGAAACATTGTGATGCTAATTAAATCTTTCTGTCTTTACTGTGCTATTTTTTGGTTACTTCTTCACTACAGCAAATTTGAAAGAGCCAAAGTTTTAAGTTAACTCTGTTAATTTTCTTATACTGCTATTAATTTTCTTTTTTTGATGTTTGCTTCTGTAACTATATAATATTATAAGCTAGTTCTTCCATATCTCTGGTCATTTTTGAAACCAATTAATGCTAGTCTTAACTTTGTTTATTTTGTGCACTTAACATTTTAGAAAATATTGGCTTTTGGCACATTCATTTCTTATTCTCAATTGGTGAGTATTTTACGCTTGTAAAATTTTTGTTTGTGTTAATGGTTTATTCAGAAGCAGTGTTTAACGAAGTAGGTGTAGGCGACACTTGTTAAGTTGTCCCAGCGTCAGTAGAACGATATAGTTTGTTTTTTTTTTTCTAAACTGAAAGGTTATAGGGCTTTTGTTACAAAAATCCTGTAGTATCATACTCGTTTGCTCTTGCCTTTTATTGAGATTCCTGTAGGGGCTACTGGATTTTGACGTGTTGAAAGAAAATTGTCATGCTTGTGCAGTCTGTAGATAATTCTTCTTTTTACTCCGCATCTGTTCTCAAATTTCTTTGTTTTTCGTGTGGTTCTTGTGTAATGTTCTTTGTATATAAGGAAGTTTGCTCAGATTTTACCTTTTAATACTCCTCGAATCATTTTACTAGTGTGTTAACAGTCATTTTATGTTTTCATTTTAAAAAATTTTTCACTGTTGTCTTGAAATTTTTGCAACACTTTTTGGTGAGGCCAATTTTCCTAACATATCTAAATTGATAAAATAAAATCAGTTTATGGCACGACAGGTGTCCGAGTGTACTGCTGTCTACAAGGTGCAAGAAACAAGATGAAGAAGTATAACAGAATTAAATGTGTTGTTTTAAACTGCGCAAATGCTGATGAGTTTGTAAAGTTATTTTTTGTCGCCATACAGTCTAATGCAGTTAGTTGGACGTGCTAACTCATTTGTGTTCGCAAAAAGAGTTCATAACTGAGCATGCTGAGAGAATTTGAAACAGGAGTCTATTTATGATGTGGGGAAATAGGAGTTGGTAAAGGTACCTTTTCTTGCTGCACCTGTTTTCAAATTGAAACGTGGGGTGCAGATCAAAAGTCAATAAGAAGGTGGCTCAGGTTAGAAACTCGTAGCGAAGCCTTCACACATGGCAAATCTGGTTGAGATAGGCTGTAAAGAAAGCTGATTTTCAATGGGTAATTTAGCAAATTCAGACAGTAACAGGAACCGTCGTTACTCCAACAGAGAGCACACCAGAGATTTCAGGAAATAGGTCAAGTAAAACTTGAGATTAAAGTGCTCCAGCGTTTATCAAATTCTTATTCTTTTTTTTTTCTTAATTTTTGAGAACACCAAAGAAGTTACAACTTTCAACTCACGCCATCTAAATATTTCTTAGCTATTCTGAGTGATTATATCCTAGTCTTTTGGCTGCCGTCTTTTATGATACATTCTCAGGCAACCAGTGCTTGAAATCAAAAACCCAGAAGAGCAACTTGTTTTTAAACTCGCTCTGTAACGCAGTGTAATGCGAAAGGACCATTTAACATTAATCATCGGAAATACCAAATTTATTTGGCCCATCGATGCTTTGACGGTTCAAAAGTAGCAGCAAATTGATGGTCAGAATGGTGGTAAAAGGAATCTTGAGAAGTTAATTTGCGAAAACTGAAAAGTAAAAAAATCTGGTCTGGAAAAATGAAAGTTGGATGATAAAATTGATGGAATTCGAAAAGCTACAAGGAATTATATAAAATGTTTAAAGAATTACTGAATATAGTTTAAGTCACTGCCACCGCGAAGGGTTTAAACTACATTTGGTAGGAATAGAAAGGCACCAACTCTTAGGAGAGGTAATCATGAAGACTTTCAAAGCATCTCTCTGTTGCCTTTTAACTTCACTTGTTATTTTTATCTGCAAACTACAGAGTAACGTGTTGTAGTTACTGTTGATTACCTGTTAATGGTTATACATAAATCATCTGCTCCCTGAAACTCTTACTGCAAATAAATTACACGCACATTTACAGAAAAGAAAATGAGTATCGTGGTTATAAGTATTAGAAAAAAAAAAAGTAAAAAAAGTTTGAAAATATTTCTTGATTTTTCTTTCGTTATTTGTTGTTGTTATTACACTAAAGGAGGTATTGAGCAGACTTTTAGATTTCGCAAATAGAGACGATTTTGGTCAATAAGGTAATCATCTGCTTCAGCTATATCACAAGAAGAAATCCTATTTTTCTTCAGCTGGGAGTGTGCTCTTTTACTTTAGAAGTTTTCCAGCTCTAGTTTTTGCCAGAGTTGCCTGCTCAGGGATGTTGTAGGAATTACTTAAGCCTTGGTTTTGGGACAATTTTACCGACTTATACTGTTAGCGGCACTTGTATTTGTAGTTTGAGACGTGGACGTAACAGAGGGAATTAAAGGGAGTCTTTATAGCTTTTTTGGGAGAAATTTTAAAAATTTAAGGCGATTGCAATTATGGGCAAGTATTTCCTCCTTTTTTTCTTCTGTACACTGCATTTCAGTTTATTTTTTGAAAATTTCATAAATTTCTTCATCATTGCTTTACGAATCTCTAATTTCAATGTGCGCCTTTGTAGTTTGTCTATATTCACAAAAAGTTGATTTTGGTGTGGGTGAAACGCAAGGAGCAAATTCATTTGCACAAATTTGAATTTGTACGATAGTTAAGAAAGCGAATTTTAAGTCGATTTAGATTGATATTGAAGGCACCTAAAAGAATAGGAAGAGGAAGGCAGAGAAGAAGGTAAACTGTAAATTTTTGAGATCTGTAAAATTTTCCAATTTGAAACATGATTTGTGGCAAAATTATAGAATAAAGGGAATAACAAAA